TCTTATACCGCTAAATTAGGGACGGCTAGCGCAGATAGCCCTCGTGTAGCTTTGCGCGAAATTCAAAATAAACAAGCAAACAAAACATATCATGTGAAAAACCAATAAAACATATTATGGTTTTGATTCCTATATTGCTAATAGAAAGCAATATGTTAACCAAAAACTTCTCAACTTCTCCTCGCCAAAACATGAATTTCATGAAGAAAATATGACATAAAAGCGAAATCTATTATTTGATTCGCTAATTCCACAGCAGCAGACTAGTTTCGCCGAGCTTACAGCTCAGTGTTGCTTGGAAGAGCTGATCAAATAAAGAAAGTAGATCTTACATAATGGTGGAATGTGACGTTAGGTAAACAAGTATAATTCACGACACATCAAACGTAATAGGTGATTACATGTGCTACTAGCCCCTAATCTACATGTATCTTGCAGAAGTTGTATCACTGCCAGTCACCTCAGATGTTAGGGTAGTAAGAAACGATAAGAACGCATAACAAAACGTTTCCCATGGTACCTCAAATCAACCACTTGCATACGTGTGTTAATGACTGAAAAAAAAAGCGTATTTCTAAAGAACTTATTTTTACTTGTAATACTTCTCGTGAACCTACGCCACTAACCTTTGATATTTCTGATATCTGGGATAAAAGATTTAATTACTTTAGTTACAACTTTTAAAAAATGCCTGTCATTGGTTTCTTTCTAGCTCAGATCCGACTTCAACAAAAATATGAAACATTTTATTACCAAAACTCTTCCAAACGAATGTTTTTAAAGCACATATTCATCATTTTTTTTGTTTTCTTGAGAATATAGAAATACACTAATTATTAAGTTCATGACTTCATTACATTATTGAGCATTCACGCTCACACATGCTTCACAGTATATGTGTAGTATATGTCTCTCTCTCTCTCTCTCTATATATATATATATATATATATACACACACCAGAACATACGAATTTCTATAAGACTGTTTATCTCCATTTATTCCCCTATTATTTTATCTACACTAACAGAATTGGTTTAAAAGACGCTAATATCACTAAGTATTTCCCATCTACGCCATTCGTGCTGATCACATGCACTAAGTTTTAATTTGTTTGTTTTTCCCCCACAGTTTGCTTTTTTCATTTCCATTACTTTTGTCCTGAACGTAGCAGGAGGAATAACAGGTTTTGTCTACAAGAAAAATGTAAGTAAAGCATGTTTATATTTGATCTTAGCGTTGTTGTACTAAGACAAACGTCTATCGGTTAACCAGCGGTAAGTTTGTAGACTTTAGTCACGTTAACATTATCATATACATTTAGAATACTAATGTTATGGCAGTCTAACTTACTTTTTGATTATCACGCACAAATCAAACCCACATTACGAAAGAAAAGTATAATAAAATTAATTTGTTTCGAAAACGAGGTCCCATTGTGTATTGACATAGATGTGATGAGAAAGAAAATGTCTATCGGTTAACCAGCAGTAAGTTTGTAGACTTACAACACTAAGACAAACGTCTATCGGTTAACCAGCGGTAAGTTTTTAGACTTACAACACTAAGACAAACGTCTATCGGTTAACCAGCGGTAAGTTTGTAGACCTACAACACTAAGACAAACGTCTATCGGTTAACCAGCGGTAAGTTTGTAGATTTACAACGAGTCACTTAACATTATCATATAAATGAAAGAATACTGATTCACATATTAGTAATGTAACGTCATTATTTAAGTTTAGTATACTAATCTATACATGGTGTGTAAATTAGTATCCTACATTTACATGACGATGTTAACGTGACTAATTCGCAAACTTCAAAACGCAGTGTTCTTAGGACTATTAATTCGCAATGTTTCAAAACGTGTCAAACGCTATCTGTGAATTCAAAATTATATGGCAACCTAGTATAGTATTTCTGTTAGAACGTGTAAGATTACAAAGAAAATGTAAACTGATACATTAAAACACGTAACAGTGCACTTATATCCTCTCATTAAACAATGAACTTGGCTCCTTTATATTCACAAGCTTTTGAGTGTAGGTTTATAACCAATATACACATATATGATAACACTGAAAGCTTGAGAATTAAGTAAGAGAAAAAACGTGAAAGACAAAACTTCACTATTATGTCTTAATATACATAAATTATATACATTAATATACATAAGTTATATACATTAATATACATAAATTATATACATTAATATACATAAGTTATATACATTAATATACATAAATTATATACATTAATATACATAAGTTATATACATTAATATACATAATTATATACATTAATATACATAAGTTATATACATTAATATACATAAATTATAGATATTGATATATATACATTGATATACA